TCCTTGAGTAATGTTTCTCATTAGGGCCTGAAACATGCTGCAGGACACCGCTCAGTGTGGGCCAGGGGCGGACTGGGACTACAAATCAGCCCGGGACTCTCGACCGGCCCACTTCGGTACCGGCCCATCGGGATTCGTCCCGATGGCCAATCCGCCCCTGGTGTGGGCCTTCCACCCTGCTGGAGAGGGAGAGAGAGGCATCAGCATGGGCTAGTTTTCCTCAGGCCTTTGATTATCTGAAATGTCTGTGAGAAAGAAGAATATAGCTTTATCCATTCAATCATTTTGAATGGATAACAGTGTTAACCAGACCTTGTGACCAGGAATTAAATGTATAAATAATTCCAAAGTACAACTTAAACTTTATTTGATTCAGGTGTCACAATTTAGGACTTATTTATAGTAAGTGGTTTTATTATGATGAATTATTTAAAAATGAGACATAAAAGTGGGAGATGCCAAAATCTTATGCATCAAGGAGAGTCTAAGATAGTTCTGTTTAACTTTCTCAAACAGACTTGGAGAATTATTCTATACAAATGTGCTGCTTGGGTTACTTCAACTTTAAATCATTTTGTAATGTGGGGTGATTTTATGGAATGGTTTGGAGCAGGAGTTCAAACAAAGCACAAGCATAGTTCAGTTTAAAAGGATGTACAGAAACACTTTTTTGGAAAACGATGAGAATGAAGAAGGTGATTGAAGATGAGAAATGATCGTATAAATGTAAATGTAATTAGGAATAACTTGCATAATGATTTAAAGGACAATCATTGATCAAGTAAGGGGTGGGAATTAATAAGCATTTGCTTCCTCCTACTCCCTTTCAGACACATATGATTATTATTAATATGAAGACTTTTTTTGTTGAATATATAAATATTATCATGAATGTGGATAAATACTGTATTTTAACAATACGTTATTCTGTTTTTCACATTTGTTATTTTTTTAATCTGTTCGAAATAAAGATTGAAATGAAAATGAAATGAAATAATCTGGTGAAGGAAAAATATTTATAGTTGAATGTTGGCTTTCACCTGTTGATAGCACTGCACCAATCCTCTCATTCAGCATCATGTCTACAACCTTTTGTTTTTATGTGATAAAGAATGACTGTGTTAAGGTTTACAGAAAAGGATACAACTGCTATGCATTTATAAATAGCGAAATGTATCTTTTTTTTTATTCTTTCATTCATTTTGTGGTAATGAAATGTAAAGGAACTGGCTTTCTATGATCAACCTTTATGACTGATTTGATGTTTTGGTATATTTCGACCATCCCCGCCTGCATCAGAAACAATTCAGTGAGACACATGCAGTCCAAACTGAGCAGACTTCTATGTGCTCGAGGTGTAGTCTTTTTGTGGAGGTGCACCAGCTCTGGCATAACGTTAGCACAAAGCCTCTGCAACTACTATTTTGATAATTGTTTAATTGTGAAAGTCAGGTTTCATGCAACAAATTACCAAAAATCCTCGTTTCCGCCTCTCAAATATGCTAATATTTAGTTGCAACCCTAGCCGCTATATACTGTTTCATTTCAACAGCAGTCAGTAATGGACCGTCTCATTCAGAGTCACACACACACACACACACACACACACACACACACACACACAGACACACAGACGAGTTCTCTGACGTGGGAGTGGAGAGAGGCCTGTGTGTTCACTGTGTCGTTCTTTGTCTCTCTGCCACTTATTCCTCTGAATGTCTCTGGTCTCATGATTGGCTGCGGCTGATAAGAGGAAGTTTCACACTGTGTAGAGTACAGAGTGGAGAGCTGTGACTTAGACTGTGTCGTGCAGTGGAGATGCAACAAGGCTGGCTATTTAAATATGTCAGCTAGACAATTATCAATTCCTCATTTCTCAAAGTCCACATTGCAACATAGCACATCTTTGTGTGTTTGTGTGAACGTACTTGTGTGCAAAAAAAAAGGGAGAGAAATATAGATGCACAATCTGGATAAATGGGTCATAGGTGGACAGACCAGACACATGAATCAAACCGTGCAGCACTGCCCTTATTGGAAGAAGAGACGGAAGAGGCGAAAACTTGGTCATTAGGTTGCTTTGTGTAAATCCTTGAAAAAAGCAGCGAGAGCTCTGATTAAAAGATGTCTGACAGCTGATGAATAACTCCAGGCTTTTTGGAATATATTGTATATATTTGTGTTTTGTCACGATAACTTTGGAGGCATTTACGTTTTTTAAACATGATCAGCACCTTCTGTGATGTAAGGCATCCGCACACGGCAGCAGCTGTGTGAGCACTTCTCCTCCATGTGCTTAGCGTTCCATGACTTCCCACAACTCCCTGGGAAGCTCAGGCTCAGGGATTAATACCTGGGTTGGCATGGCAACAGTGACGCGGCCATCGCCATGGGAGATAATAACCAGGAAGAGAGGGTGAACATAAAAAGCCAGGACAGTGAAGTTATTCTGTTGGATCTCTGGACAAATGTCAGCGTCAGACATGTTTGCTCTAACCAAGAATTCTTTATTTACCAAGTGTGATAAGAAAGGATATGTCTGCGACGCAGCACAACACCAGGATTGATTGAACTGCTCAATCAATACCAGTGACTCAGCACTTCATTTCATGGCCAGCTGCTGAGCTTTTTGCTTTCTTCGTCTCTTTTCAGCCATATATCAGCCTCATATGTTTTGGAAACATGTTTGTATTCTTTCTATATCTAACATCCCAAACAACATAGGTCACAGATTGCATTACTGTGAGTGGATAATGTATGCAGCGAAAAGGAGTATAAGAGAGTGGGGGAGAGAGTGAGAGGAAGACAGAGGTAAATGGGTGTATAGGAGAGGGGGGGGGGGGGGGGGGCTTAGCCAATAATTTCCTCTTACAGCTCAGATGAACAGCTGATGCACTTAGTTCAATTACACACTCTGTGTGTGTGTGTGTGTGTGTGTGTGTGTGTGTGTGTGGTGTGTTGTGTGTGTGTGGTGTGTTGTGTGTTGTGTGTTGTGTGTGTGGGTTGTGTGTGTGTGTGTGTGTGTGTGTTGTGTCTTCCCATTTTAAATCGCACTGTGTAGAAGAACTGACGGAGGAGAATGAACTAATGTGGAGAATTATTCTCTGATTCTCCAATACAACATTAGTCTTTTCTATATGAATTCACTTCATTGGTTTAAAAGCGATTGCCTAATCATTGCATGTACATGTTTGCCTTTTTATTGGATTACATATAAAATCAGTGTATGACTGAAACTAATGATTATTTTCATTCTTGATCAGTCTCTCAATTATTTTCCGCAGGTACTTTTAAAATGTTGTTAGTGTCTGAAGTAGTGTCTGAAGTAGTTTGTGTGTGTGCGTGTGCGCGCACATTTGTGATCACGTGTGGTTACGTGCATATGCCGTTATGTGCCCAATGCACACCTGTGTCCTATTTGAGTAATGCACATCTTGTCTACATGTGTAGTATATATATTTGCACTTCTACATATCTATGACACACACACACACACACACACACACACACACACACACACACACACACACACACACACACACACACACACTCACTAATTCATTCCAGTAGGAACAGTAAGCAGGGCGTACAGTATGTTAGCACTTAGTCCCCCCTACCTGGATTAGTACGATGAACATTCAAAAACATGCACTGGTTCAGCAACCAAGGTGTTGTTTCTTTTTCAATTTTATATTACTGCTGATACAGAAATAGTCCTGACACTCTTTAGCTTTGTCCTACAAACACACACACACACACACACACACACACACACACACACACACACCATGACTCGACACACACACACACACACACACACACACACACACACACACACACACACACACACACACATCATGACTCGACACACACACTCTACCTCAGGGTCAGAATGTCTCACTTTAACACTAATAACCAAACCAGAACAAGCAGTGATGGATGAAAGGCTTGATGTGTTAAACACTTCACACAGGCTGTTTGCAGACCCTTATGTGTTTTAAAGGTTCATGATTCATTCATTAAACACATGATTACTCTGTTTGATAGTTTAAAATCCAATTGCAATGGTCATTAACTTGAGATTTCACCTGGTATTCCAGATTTTCATCATGACTGTGGTGAAATTGCGGTTCAATTAATTGTAATTAAATCTGGAGTTAGAAGCAAACATCCTTTATGTGTACATCAGCATCGCTGCATCTTCCCTGGTGCTTTTACAAATGATACATTGATTGGACAGAGAGGGAGAGGGCATCAGAGGCAGCAGTCTGAAGCAGTGATGGATGAGGGGGGGCACACCCAGGGGAGGAGGCCACGCTGTCGGCCCTGCACTATTGAGACTCTCCCTTGGGTGGCCTGGGTCTAGAGGTGGTCGGAGAGATGAGTGGGGGGGTGTATACACCAGCTGTGGATCGTATGAATGAACTGAAGAACAATGCATTGGATGAATACATGGAAAATAAATCAGAGGAAGAAGGAGAAGGCTTCGCTTTCCCAAAACTCAGGTCATGCTCCTTCTTTTAAAATGGACTGTGTCCGACAATTCCATTTTTCAAAGTGTTTTTACTTAGTAGTGTTCATTGTGTCTACACTCAAAGTTTTCATTTCATAAATTAATATTTTGTCAACAGATTACACATAACTGTATTAGGTTAGTTGAAAGCAATAATATTAAGTTGAACCTTTTTTTATTTAAACTTCATATTATTGGTTTCAACTAACCTATTATAGTCATGTGTAATCTGTTGACAAAATACATTTAATTAAGTCAACTTTTCATATATTTGTTTGTGTACGTATATTGATTTTTACAAAAAAAGACTGCTATGTATGTGATTAACCATCTTGTGTCGTATGATTGGAAAAAGCCTAACCCTAACCCAAAATGTGTAACAGCATGAGATTCAGTATTAAGTGTTCTGGTTAGAGCCATTTTGTTCTAGAACAGCATTTTATGAAGCTAACATGAGTTTAACTTCATGTCTCCTTGTGTTTTCCAGCTGTTTCGAGAGGTACGCATCATGAAAACTCTGAACCATCCCAACATAGGTGAGTTCCGCTGCAGAGGATTCATCTACGTGTGTTTCCATGCTGGCCTTTGCTAACTCCTCTTCCTCTGTGTGTTACAGTGAAGTTGTTTGAGGTGATTGAGACTGAGAAGACTCTTTACCTGATTATGGAGTACGCTAGCGGAGGTGAGTGCCCCCCCCCCCCCCCCACGCTCATGAATGTTGCCAAGTAGTGAATGGTGCAAGTTAGAATGATCACTTTGACTGAACTATATAGTGACACTGATGGACTCATTCATTTAAGGTATCAAACTAACGGGTCCAATCCTTTTATTTTCATTTCCATTTGTGACATCTCTTGTCTCTGAACAAGGCAGAGAGCTCTCTTTCTTTTCCTCTTGTTCTTCAACACTGTTCCACTTTCCCATGCATTACTCTATTTTTCTATCTTCATTATTTGTTTTTCTTCCCCCTTGTAATCCCCTAATCTCTCTCCACTGCTCTCTCTTTATGTTGCGTGATCTCTTTCTTCCAATACCTAATAAGGAGGCAGCTCAAAATGCTGCTCTGTTAAACCCAGACCCCAGCCCGTGTTCTTTGTAAGGATATTTAGGATCAAATGTATGGCTGGAGTGCATACCTGTGTACAACACACATCTATATGGAGACCTGAAATAGGATTTAAGTGAACCAAGAATGTTGAGCAGTTTGGGAGTGTCAGTACTTTTTGATGTGTCATGTCCCAGAAAATAGCACAAGGTACGCTTGACCAATTTCCCCCGGGACAGTTATCAGGTTTCACCTCTTTATGAGATTGCAACATTTGCTCCTGCAATAATCTGGACACATGCCTCACTCCAAACTCATACACACCCAGAGTGTTGGAGAACTTATACACCTGATCTCACATAAATACATACTGAGGGAAGAAACCTACATTTACATCCATCTTCTGCAAGTGTTGGTGCTTAAGATATGTTATTATGGGAAGTGGGAAACCAAGATATACATTGATTTATAAAGATAGAAGGTACACCAAAACTGTTAATAAAGACAACGTAGTCGGTGGACCTTTCTGCTTTTTAGTCTAGTCATGGAATATGTTAATACATGCTTGCCTGATAGACAGTCTAACTTTTTTTCACCCCCTTTCAGGCGAAGTGTTCGACTACCTCGTGGCTCACGGCAGAATGAAGGAGAAGGAGGCCAGAGCCAAGTTCAGACAGGTCTGTAAATCATGGTTCTTTCTGTCTATATTTCTGTCTGTCCATTTGTTGCTGGCCAACCCAGAAGGGAGCATCACAAGGGCTCCCTTGACAAAAAGCAGTGGTAGTTTTCCAAAGGGTTTTTAAATATTGCACAAATGATTTAACCTGCAATATTCAGTATGTTCACTTTTCTTGCAATAATAACCTTTATGTGAAAGACATACATTGTTATAAATGTCCCAACATTTGTACAATATCTCAACAACTTAAATATTACCAATGTCACAGTTCTTTAAATTGCTGCTCCTAATTCTTTAGCCATGGATGTGTACTTATTTGTCTTATTTGCCATTTTTTGCTGTAACACAAATCTGATTAAGATTAAATCTGAGCTACTTGAGTGCAATATTAATGATCTTCTCTCATTTGTCTTATTATTATTCTCTCCCTCTCTATTATCTGTCCTCAGATTGTGTCTGCGGTGCACTACTGTCATCGGAAGAACATTGTTCACAGAGACTTGAAGGTGAACGTTCGTCTAACTCATTAACACTTATCTAACAGACTGTATATTACATTTGCACTTTTGTTTGTTTTTATGATGCCTCCTGTAGCACCTTGGGATTGCCGTTAGCAATGTTAGCTTTACAAATCGAATGTGTTATTATTATTATTACTGAAACAGGAAGTTACAGTCATTTGCTTTAAAGCTGATATCCATAACACTACAGCTAGATGTTATCGACATAATGTTCAAACTACTACTACCATTTCAATCAGGAGAGACGGTTTTGATGTAAGAATAGTAGAATACATATTTATTGCCAGGAATACACAAATGAATGTAATGGAGTTTTGGCGATTAGGCCCCGTTGTGCAGGAGTATCATTCGGGAGGGGAGAACTGATCCGATGAAACCCCCCTGGGGTCTAGACCCTGGTGGTGATGAATGGATAGTTGGGTTCGGTCTGAAGGGGAGGGGCTTAGCTTGACCCTGGATTCAGAGGGACAGGAGGTGAAAAGGGGGGGGAGGAGGGCTGCATCGAGTCACCTGAAATGACAGCTGTCAGAGGGGGAAGAGCAGATTCAAAAGGTTTAGCAGAGCGCTATGATAGGCTTGTGAGAATAGAGCGAAGTGATTGGTTAAGCTGGGGAGTGACGCCCCCGATCACTTATTGAGAGGAGAGAGAGTAGTAACATGGAAATAGTAAATGAATGAGTAATGACGGTCTTCCTGGTTGAACTTACGCTGAGCTTCATTTCTTTATATGTGCATGCCAGCCACCTATGATCCACTAATACTTGATTACAGTTGTCCTGTTTAGTTTTCTGTATATTAAGTGTCTATATGTTGTATGGTGCAGGCGGAGAACTTGCTACTAGACGCCGACTCCAACATCAAAATAGCCGACTTTGGCTTCAGTAATGAGTTCACTGCAGGCAGTAAACTGGACACCTTCTGCGGCTCCCCGCCTTACGCCGCCCCGGAGCTCTTCCAGGGGAAGAAGTACGACGGTCCAGAGGTGGACATCTGGAGCCTGGGGGTCATCCTGTACACACTGGTTAGCGGGTCCTTGCCGTTTGACGGACAGAACCTCAAGGTGGGTGACATGTAGGCTGTGTGGGAGCAAGATATATTTTATTTAAGGAGACTGAGCTCAAAGCAGAAATTATTTTAGATTGTGTCGTACTGCACTGGTGAGCATAAGTGAAGTGTTGGGATACACATACATGTCTTCATCACTTCATAATTATTATTATTGTTATTATTACTGGCTGCTGTCCCTTAGTCAGACAATTCAACTTCTGTAATACATCTGTAAATAACTGTGAAATATATACTTCCACCTGTAATACCATCACCTGGCTCCTATATCAAAACTTAACACATGCTACACTTGTTTTTTTAAGTACTGTTAATGGCACTGGATGTGTTTTTTCTTAATTGTAAATTGATTAATTTCAATTTTTTATCTTTCATATTTGTTGCATGCTTCCTAATTGATATGAAACTATCTGGCTCTTTACTTGCTGTAACAATGTAAATGTCCCCTCGTCGGAAGAATACATGTGTTCTAATTCTGATCAAATAATAATAGAGTTGTTATTCTAATTGAAGTTTAATGATATCAGGCTATCCAATTTGAACATTTCAAACATTCCTTTAGGGTTTAATTCGATTTTTTTTATGGAATATGTTTGAAATGACCCTCCAGAGTTTCAAAAACTCTAAGGCCACCGTTAATTCTAGATTGAGCATCATCACAGAAAAACACACAGAATGACACATTGCCTAGTCCTGATGTTTCATTCATTCAGTGTCTCTGTATTCATTGTGGTTCAATGTGTGTTGCGTTCAGGAACTGCGGGAGCGTGTTTTGAGGGGGGAAATATCGCGTGCCCTTCTACATGTCTACAGACTGCGAGGGAATCCTGCGCCGCTTCCTGGTCCTCAACCCTTCCAAACGCTGCTCGCTGGATGTGAGGAAAAGACATTCATACAGCATGTTCACTTTGACCACATCAGAGTCTAAATACTGCGCCTCTCTTTCCTCACCAGCAAATAATGAAAGACAAGTGGATTAATATCGGCTTTGAAGGCGAGGATCTAGTGCCCCACACAGAGCCTGAGGAGGACCTGAACAACACCAGCCGCATCGGTGAGAAACAAACACACCTTTATTTACCCTAATCATTGATGACAACATGGTTTACTGATCAGTTAGGATAAGCTGGGAACGTCTGGCTGAGTCTCACTGACGCTTCTGGAGGTTTTTTAATTGTTTTATTCTGTTTTTGTGGTTGAAAGTTATCAGTGGAAAAGCTTATGCCTGAGATCTGGCATGTTGCATCAACCAAAGTTTCAATAATAATTTAGTGACATAAAACGTAAAATAAGATCTTTTTTTGTATTTGTCTTAACATGTTCAGTGTTACATCCACAAAGGGGACATAAATAGAAGAACCCGAAATAGAAGAGCCCAGCAGGAGCTGCTGTAACAAGCAAGTCACTTACATGGTGCTCCAAACGCATTTAAATGGAACTAAACTTTTAGTTGGTGTTAAATTCAGGTTCTGATTATGAATCAAACACTGCAGGTTCACACTCATCAGGGCACTAGGAACTTTCATAATGTAACTAAAGGTTAACCTGTGTGATAATGCTTTTTTGACTTTTTGTAGAGCTTGTGAAATTACAATCTTTGTAATGTCATTTCTCTCGTTCCAGATGTGATGGTAGGGATGGGCTTCGCCAGAGAGGAGATCAGAGACTCGCTGTCTACTCAGAAATACAATGAGGTCACGGCCACATACCTGCTGCTGGGACGCAAGAACGACGTGAGTGTATAGGCTTTTTTTTTAATGTTTGGGTTCAACTGCACAAAAGCAATCTACCTTGATACATAGCACTGCAGGTAGGGGGGAACAAGGGCACCTTGTTAGTTCTTAATAACTCTGGGTTGATACACACATCAGACGCATTCAAAACCTTATTAATCACCACCAGTTGTTTAGTAAATGTCTGTGTCTGTCTCTCAGACGGATGTCAGTGAGTCTCGCACGGCCAGCAGTCTGAGTCTAGCTCGAGTCCGACCCAGCACCATCACCAATGGTACCAGCAAACACACCACCTCCTCCTCTGCTGCACCATCCTCTTCCTCCTCTGCCCACAAGCCTCAGCGCAGCGCCTCCACCTACCACCGCCAGAGACGGCACTCTGACTTCTGTAAGGACTGCAGACACCACTTTGTGATTAGGATCATTCATTGAGACGTTATGAAAAGCTGAGGGGAGTCTTCCTCACTGAGATCTTTTCTATCCCTCAGGTGGTCCAGCAGTTCCAGTGTCGACGCACCCCAAGCGGAGTCCTAGTGGTGTAGGCGAAGTGGCGGGGCTTAAGGAGGAGCGTCTGTCAAGCCGCAAGCCGAGCACGAGCACCATTGTCTCTCGGAGCATCCCGACCCCCTCCAGCCCCATGGTCAGCTCGGCTCATAACCCCAACAAAGCCGAGATACCCGACCGGCGCAAGGAAGTCACCACAACCCCAGTAAGACCCCAGGAGGAGGACCCTCAATCCCATTACCCAGATTACAGCACACTGACACAGACATATGAAGACTGCAAACATTAACACAGATTAGAAGAGTTTAACAACTGCATACATATGAATAAGGAACTGTAAATTCGCCCACAGGGAATATGGAGATTATGGTTGTTCAGTAAGATTAACTGAAGCAGCCAGATTAACCTGAGATGAACTCTTTAATAGTCTGTAAGTGTCTGTCTGAGGCAAAACCTTCAAGGCAGGGAAGCCTTCATTTGTTCACTCAGTAGAGCTTTTCAAAAAGTCCCACATAAAGTGTCAGGCACAATGCACGTGTTGCTCTTTAGAAGCCCTCCTTTCATTGTTTCAAGTTTTAAAACACATCACATCACCAGCTCATTTATCCTGATTCTTTCATTTGATTCTTTCTCCAGAACAACATTCCTGCCAGTGCCATGACTCGAAGGAACACTTATGTGTGTACAGACCGATCCAGCACCGACAGGAACACACTGTTGCAAAATGGCAAGGAAAACAGGTGAGAATATGGACTGTAGATGCTAAGATAAATGTCCTACCCGTCAGTCAAAGTAGGTCTCAGGGGCTCAGAGAGTTGTGTTCTTTGGACCACGTGGCCCATGTCCATGAATCATATTTGTATGCAATACTGAAGATGTAAGAATCATCACAACACTTGAGAACACAGATTCACTCACTCTTCACTCTTTTTTAAGTGCGGGTGCACACAAAGGCTATTCATTACTAGCCTTAATTCAATATAGAAATAGCAAGGTAAACATGAACAAGATGGATTCATTATACAACACAGTTTGAACGTGTTGTATCTTATTTAACCCAATGCAGGAAACACATTCTGCATATTTATATTGAATACAGTGAAACTGGTTCCTCTGGTCCAGCGCGTCTCCTTGCACACAGCTCAGTGTTTGGCTCTGAGTGTTAATCTCATACATAGTATCTCTTCAAGAGAGGATAAAGGGCTTAAATTGTGCATGAGTGGGTTAGTAAGTGTGTGTGTTTATACACCCAATATGATGTGTCTGTTCTTGTGACAGATGGTTGTCCGCCACCATCTCCCCTCTCTCACTATCTCACTTTCATTCTGTCTGACCTGTTTCCTCTGTCTCTTTATCACTCTGTAAGTGTGCCTCCCAGAGGAAGAGCCATAGACTTTCTGTCTGTTCAAACATTTGTTTTGGGACTTAGGTTCTTCAGGTCGAGTAGGCAAATTCTTCTTTAGTTTCTTTACTTCGGTGATTTTTACTATTCTACAGTATTGCAATACTACATGGTACAAGTGTTTGTCTACCGCCTTAACTGTTCCACCAGCTGAAAATCTGCTCAAAGACTGTAGGTCAGGGGTGCCCAACCTTTTTTGAACCGAGAGCTACTTTTAAAGTTGCCAGTCTGCTGAGATCTACCAGTCCAAATAGAGAGGCGTAGTTACTGACAGCCTACTACCAGGTAAATACACACTTCCACTTGTATAAAACTGACCTTTGTACGATTAATACTTCATAAAATACTGCAGATCCTTTATCTTACCTCGGCTCTTTCTAATCTACACACATACAAGTATTTAACTGAAGTTACACAACAGTGTTGTTGATACAGAGTTGGAGTTTATTCACACGTCACTACAGTGGGTAATGTTTTCAAGAAACATTGAACAGTGCTGCCACATATGACACAGGAACAAAAGAAAAGACTCTGAACCCTTTCTTTGCCATTATATAAAAATAGTGTTGCTACAAAAGTATAAATGAGGCTTACTAATAAGAAAACTCAGATCTGAAGCTACACAGGAATCTGCTGCCAACGTGCAATAAAAAAAGACTAAATTAATAGAATCAAACCCTTTTTTGTTGCATTTTAGTCGAGTATAAAAATAAATGCCTTTAATAGGATGCAAGCAACACTAGTTTCTTAACCTCAATTGATAATAGACTATAATCAATTTAAGTTTGCATTCTTATACCATTTTGTAGAATAATTATAATGAATAAGTTCAAACAAACTAAAACTCAGCTGATTAATAACGGTATCTAACTTGAGTTTTTATCATATCAAAAACCTTTTTGAATGCTACTGTTATTTTTATTGTCCCCCAAAAGCGCGTCGGCAGCCTCCAGGAATGCTTCTTTCACAACTTCGCCGTCTTTGAAAGACTTCATGTGTTTCTCAAGAACGTGACTGACACGATAAGATGCTCTGGTAGCAGCCTTGCTCTTGTTGTTGGGCCTGGTGAAAATGGACTGCTGTGCATTTAGCTGTCCTTTCAGGCCCCTCCCCTTTTGGAGCGTAGGGCAGAATTAGGAGGGAATTCCGTCTCGTAGCGTTTGTGCACTGTTTTGAAATGCCGCTCCTAAATTACCCTTCTTCGATAAAGCCACGCTCGCATTGCAGATGAGACAGATGGACTTTGAATTGGAATAGATACAAAAATAATCATCCTCCCACTCGGAGTGAAAATTATATATTTTGCGCTTATTTTGCTTCTGCCATAATTGCGGTCTTGTGTGTGTGCGGACTGTCACTCCTGTTGACACGGACAACGTCAGCTAACTAGTGCCCACTGCCCACCAGCCGCGCCCCGACACATGGGGTCACGCCGGCCAATCACAAAGCTTTGATGCGTTCAAGTGCATTATTCTGGCACAGGAAGATTAAGTTATAGGACATTAACGATAAAACAGAATATTGTTGTTCTATTTTTAGACACATCTCGCGATCGACTGGGAATCTCCCCGCGATCGACCGGTCGATCGCGATCGACTGGTTGGGCACCCCTGCTGTAGGTCAACCTTTTGAGAGACTCTAGGAATCAGCCTACCATAACAACATATTAACATCATCTCTCCCCCCAACATGTCCTGAACAGAATATGAACTGTTTCCATCAAATCAGAGGTACAGGGTCCCAGGATTTGATCAAGTTAGACTGAAGCACTCCTTTGTGCACGTCAATCCTAAAATAAAATACAGATTTAAATCCCAGGTCAAATGCACGTTAGAGAAAATGGAGCTGCTGTGATGCAAGGAAATGTCAGACTTCTGAAGATCTGACAATAAAGTATTATCGTAGCTTATATGGGAGGAGGGCTGGGGGCAGGTCAGGCAAACAATGTATCCAATGCCAAAAAAGAATAGAAAAAAGTATTGAATAGGAGGGCGGGCACCATGCCGACGTTACCCTCCACTTGCTCAGAGGCCTTGTCAATGTGATGCCATGCCAGAGTGGCTGATGGGAACACGTGCATGGACACACTCAGTCACATAAAAGGGGACATGGAAAGGGTGTGATCTATAATGGCAACAGGATTGCACTGATTATCTAAAGAACAGCATGTGTGTGAGTTACTGTATGTGTGACTGTATGTGTGTATGTGTATGTATGACCCACATTTCCATCCATTTATTAAAAACACTGTTGGGTATTCAAGTCCATGAAATGATACACGGGCAGTAATCTTTGATGACTTTGGAAGTGATCTTATACAGAGACAGAGTGTAGCTGCAGATAGTAAAACGCTTCATAAAGCTGTGGACTAATAGTTATAAAATAGTTTAAATGTTATAATAAGTAAAGACTATATAGTTATTCTAAATGCTTGCCACCGAGTGCAATTGAGACGCAATCATGCAGGTTCACAACAAGTGGCTGGTGCTCAGAAAACTCTATTGCTTTTGTCCACAAACACCACCAAAAATAAAAGTTCCTCGTAGTAATTGTATTAGATTTGCCCTTTTTTTGGCAGTTATTTTTATATACATACTGTTAAACTCTCAATTTAATTTAATTATACTTCTTGTTTTATCTTTACCTAGAAATAACAATAAACCCTCAAGTATAAATGTGACTACAGGTGTGACAGGGTTTCTTTGAAGGTCCAATGCAGTAGGACTGGTAATAACCAGAATCAGAATCCGCCATTCGTCCCACAGAGGAGATATATACATTGTTACGGCAAGTAAAGAGCCAAAGGTAGCTGGATATTCATTAAGAAGCATGTATAACATATTAAAGATACAATTAGAAACTACACAATTTAAAATGTGCAAAATACACATCCAGTCCCAGTAACAGTTGTGAGATAGCAGCTAGATGATAGTATTACATTAAACATTAAACACACCACAAAGTTTCACTCCAGATAGGCTTAACCCACCAATACAGGTATACCTTTAAAGCGGAAATCTCAGGAGTTCTCGGGTAGTCCCTTTCTACCATTTTCTTCCCTTCTTTTGTACATGTTCAGCCTCTCACCCTCCTCGTCTCCTCTCGCTATTCTTTCAGTCTTCATTACTCAGACACCCCCAACCCCCCATCCGCCCCCTGTGTGCCCCCCGCAGTGAGCCGCAGCTCATATTGACGTTAAATGATTTTGCTCTGCAGCGGCTGCGCTTCAACTTAACTCGTTGAATGGCTCTGCCCCACTTGAACCTTGTGTGTGGGAGTTATCTAGAGCGTTATGAAAAGCAGCCTCAGGCCACCAGCCACAGAGTGAGGGTGGTGTGTGTGTGTGTGTGTGTGTGTGCGTGTGTGTGTGTGCGTGTGTGCGTGTGTGTGTCAAAGTGTACGTGTAAGGGTATCGAAGGGGGGGGTGCAAAATGAGAGATCTCAATTGGAGACCACAAAGAGCATTTTGGGCCAATTTTAGATTAGGAATAAGTGTTATGATGAAGAGCAGATGGCTCACTCACTGTTCATTCATCTGCACACTTCTGAACAAGTTACCTGGGTTCAAGGGGATAGAAGTATTGAAGATCTTAAATGTACTTGACTGTTATCATAAAGAAACTTAAAGAAATTGCAAGTTTAGTTTAGTTTTTGGGGAATTTATTCTATCATAGTCAACTTCAATTTACTTGTTATTCCTTTTTTTATTTATTAAAATGATTGTTATAGCAGCAACTACCACTCATTGGTTTTTCTCTCCCTCCAGCTCCATATCCCACCGCCTGCCCCCCTCCTCCCCCTCCACCCACAGCATCGCCGGGGCCTCCGGGGTCTCGTCCTCCACGCCCTCCTCCCGCCTCTCCAGGGGCTCCACGGTGAGGAGCACTTTCCACGGGGGGCAGATCAGAGACCGCCGCCCTCCCTCCCATGCTCCCCCTGCTTCCCCAATGCCATCCCATGATGCCAGCCCCCTGCCCCACACCAGGACCCGGACCACCTCCACCCTGCTCAGCAAACTCACCTCCAAGCTGACCCGCAGGTAAGGGGAGAAGCCGGGAGAAGAGGAAGGGGAGGAAAGGATAGAAGGTTATACGAGTTGCATTGTGTTCAGAGACTTTAAGTAAAACAGGAAGACATGAAATGATAACCGATAGAATCATATCTAACAGCAGGATTGTAAATGTTGGATTGCTGCTAACCCTTCACGTGGTGGAGTGAGACTGTCAACAGTGTAACTCTTTTGCTCTGAACGTGTACATAAAGATCATTGAGCTAACCTTGCTGCCTCTCTCCGTCTCTTCCTTAACCAGCACTAACCTGCCAGCCTTTGTCCTCTACTGATGCAGCTTCACAGGCGTCAGACCTGGGTCTCATAGTGTGTCAACATGTTTGTGTTATTACCACCTGCTCCATTTACTATTAAAAATGTGTCCACCTCATCACATTGAAAACAACAAATGTTATAATTGTAAAATAGTTCATATGTGATGATATATACTAAAAGCCTATGCCTTAATTAGTGAAAACACATTTGGCATTATGATTAGAAATGGGATGGAACCGTAGATTCTGACCCTTTTCATGTTGTTTCCCTTAGCAGCAATAACACACAACACTGACAACTAGTGGATTTAAATACAAACTCATTTAGTTGGGGGGGTTTATGATCAAGGATGGTCATTATATTTGAATAAGGAGAATGGGCAACACTAAGTGAATGTAAAAAAAGAGTGTGTGACAAATAAAGAGAGATATATAAAAACGAATGTCCCTAAATGTGGGACTCTGTAACATATGGTTTAGTGGATAGCAATGTATGCAATAGTTTCATCCTGCACTATTGGAAATGACTGTAGGCCCTTTCTTATCTAAGCAGTTAGAAAGTATCTTCAGTTACAGAAAATGGTTAAAATGTCATAGTTGAGCTGAACTTCTCAGCTTCTGTCATAGCTGTTTCCCTGACACAAACAAACATTCAGCTATAAGACCCAGGTCTGCTGTTCAGGAGACATACTGTCTTCTTCTCTGCTGCTTACCGTTGCTTTATCTGTTGGTTTGTTTGATTCTTTAACAACTTTTCTTTTCCTTGCCAGTCACCTGCCAATCTGTTATCCTTCTTTTCTCCTGAACTACAGTACACAACGTTTGATACTGCCTCTTCTACCTGTGCTTCTTACTGTCTGGCATCTCTATTTTGTCTCCTCCTCACTTGCTCTCTCTTTTGTTCCATGTCTCTCTGACTTTCTGCTGTTAATTTCCCTTTTTTTCCATTCCTCTCATCTTCTCGTCATCTCCTTCTCTTCTTCCTCTTCCTCCTAGGGTCACTATTGACCCTTCTAAACGTCAGAGCTCAAACAAGTCCATGTCGGGCTGCACCCTCCCACAGGGGACAAAAACAGTTAGTAAGTCTTCCTTTCCCATGTTTTCTGGCTGCTTCTGTCTGACTGTCTGACTGACTGTCTGACTGACTGTCTGCCTGTCTGACTGACTGTCTGTCTGACTGTCTGTCTGACTGACTGTCTGTCTGTCTGACTGACTGTCTGACTGACTGTCTGCCTGTCTGACTGACTGTCTGTCTGACTGTCTGTCTGACTGACTGTCTGTCTGTCTGACTGACTGACTGACTGTCTGTCTGACTGACTGTCTGTCTGACTGACTGACTGACTGACTGACTGACTGTCTGTCTGTCTGTCTGTCTGTCTGACTGTCTGACTGACTGTCTGACTGACTGTCTGCCTGTCTGACTGACTGTCTGTCTGACTGTCTGACTGGTTGACTGACTGTCTGTCTGACTGTCTGACTGTCTGACTGACTGACTGACTGACTGACTGACTGTCTGTCTGTCTGTCTGTCTGTCTGACTGACTGTCTGCCTGTCTGACTGACTGTCTGTCTGTCTGTCTGACTGACTGACTGACTGACTGACTGACTGTCTGACTGACTGACTGACTGTCTGTCTGTCTGTCTGTCTGTCTGTCTGACTGACTGTCTGTCTGACTGACTGTCTGTCTGTCTGACTGACTGACTGACTGACTGACTGACTGTCTGACTGACTGACTGACAGACTGACTGACTGTCTGTCTGACTGACTGTCTGTCTGACTGGTTGTCTGACTGACTGACAGACTGACTGTCTGTCTGTCTGTCTGTCTGTCTGTCTGTCTGACTGACTGTCTGTCTGACTGACTGTCTGTCTGTCTGACTGACTGACTGACTGACTGACTGACTGACTGTCTGACTGACTGACTGACAGACTGACTGACTGTCTGTCTGTCTGTCTGTCTGTCTGTCTGTCTGACTGACTGTCTGTCTGACTGGTTGTCTGACTGACTGACTGACTGACTGACTGTCTGTCTGTCTGTCTGTCTGTCTGTCTGTCTGTCTGTCTGTCTGTCTGACTGGTTGTCTGACTGACTGACTGACTGACTGACTGACTGTCTGTCTGTCTGTCTGTCTGTCTGTCTGACTGTTTGCCTGCATGCCAGTGGCCCTGTCCCCCCCTCATCACTGTCTGTGACTTTAGTTACACAAACATTCATCTGAACTGAGACTATCGTTTATAGTAGTGACAATACAAAGAAGCTTTTGTTGCAAAGATGTGTGTGTGTGTGTGTGTGTGTGTGTGTGTGTGTGTGTGTGTGTGTGTGTGTGTGTGTGTGTGTGTGTGTGTGTGTGTGTGTGTGTGTGTGTGTGTGTGTGTGTGTGTGTGTGTGTGTGTGTGTGTGAAAGGTGTGTGTGTGTGAAAGGTGTGTGTGAAAGGTGTAATGGGTAACCACGGGTTACCCTGCATCATTGTAGCTTCCTACCTGTGACAGTAAATGTGTGAGCCTCGGCAGAATGCTAACAGCCGGCAGCAGTCATCCCTCTGACCCGGCGTCACAGCCGTTTAAATCAGGATTAGTTATGCAACCAGGATTGATCCTTTTCTTAAACAGGGATCTTCACAGCTGAGATACGAGCAGATTGTTCTGTTCCTCTGCTGCTAGCTTCTCTCACTCTGTCTCTCTGCTCTTCTTTCTCTCATTTTCTCACTTTCAGCCGTCCTCTCTCAGCTCAGATAATCCTTAACTCAATGCAGTGTGAGAGAATAGAGGCGAGCGAGTCTGCACTACATACTCAGATAGATTTCCCCATATGTATTCTGTCTTAAAGATGTGATACCACTAGCCTCGCTCAGGGTCACCTTGGCATCCGTATCCTTACTTTCTTGACCCAGTCAAAAAAAGAAAAGGTCATTTTCTAAAATGTAACACAATCAATTCTTATTTCCCAAAACATTTACTTTTGAGAACAGGAATATATTGATATAGCTTTTAAAAATATTTGAATAGCTATTTGTTCTGCAAAAATGTTTGCGTTACTAGTCAAATATTACCAACAGATTTGCTGTAATGAAGTTTATTATTCCTGATCCGACAGGAATTACCTTCAATATGTTTGCTAGGTAATTTTTTATTTTATAAACATTTATAAATGATAATTCTCATCCCATTGATTGATTGTGTGGATTATCAGGGATTTCTCCATGTACTTTAAGAGAGGTGAGAGTACAAACATCTGAGCCAGGGTCACATTAGAGACACTTTCACTAAATCCTTATTTTTGTACATATATTTTACTGCTCAATTCTCATACAACCACCAGTTCCTGGAAAAGACATCAGGTTGCCAGGTTGGTAGCTACAGAAAACAGCAACAGGGGCCCCTGGTGGCCATACAAGAGAAGTGCAATAAGAAGCCTCAAACTCCTGTAGCTGCAGTCTGCTGGGTCGAGTAAATAGTTATTTAGAAGAAACTTGAATACAAACCTACAGCAGGCATGATGTGGATGGCATGTGAAATGCAATATTCCATTCTGTAAATTGCAAAGAATGTCAAACACACCATTTGATAATAAGATTAGACTAGACGCATGGCCCTCAAGAAAGGACAAAAAAGGAACATCCCAGGTGATTTTCAAATGTAAGGAGAGTAAGAATAGAAGTGCTTGAATACAGTAAATAGAAAAATGGAGCATAACTAACAAACCAAAACAATAGAGAGTGTCAGGAATGTGTGCTAACATCAGGCTGCTCTGTTCAAATCTGGTCACCCTCAGGGTCCTGAAGGTAGACACTTGAGGAAGCAGGGGACCACATCATAAAGGATTCAACAACAATTGTATTGTAAGCATTGTAGAAGGTTACATACCATAAACCATACCAAATAAAAACATGTCAGTCAAAACGCATCAAACCAAAGTTGTGAAATGCAGTTACAAAGACTAAATAAAACCCTTAATCTGATGTCAAAAATATTTTCTGATCAGACAAAGAGCTAAATTGTACAGTATTATATTTATTTTACACGTGGCAAAACTGTGCATCATACTGTATCAGACATGACAGCTGATACTGTGTATCAGTGTGTTCCTATCAGAAGGAAGAAATACAGTTCTGGAGAGAGGCGCTGTAGCATCTCAAACCATGCCTGTACAGACGTTAGTCCCACATCAACATCTTAGCTTGGACAGCATTACAACCATGTACAAACAATAGTAGAATGCTTGTTATATTTTTCTAAATGAGTCTGGTGTCCTCTTTTAACACACAATGTGTGCTTTAATAAGCATCAGATTTGTACGCATGTGAGTCCGGCCACCGCTCATTTGTTTGTTGGTGACTTTGACATTTTGTTGTTTCACGTTCATCTGATGTTCCTGTGTGGTGAGTGTAGTTGTGAGGACCCATCTGTGGTTTGAAGACACGTTGTTGTGTTTTGTGTTGTGATTGTTGTGGATGACTGATGTAGCCATGCAGCTATTGCATTAAACAGGAAGGGGTGAGAGGTTGATGTCAACAGGCCTATTGATTCCTAACGGATACGTTTTTCTTCCTCTTGAGGGTCACAGACGAACCTGAGAGAATCAGCAGATCTCCGGTCACAAGGTGAGTCCACATTTACGCTTTGTCTGACACCGACAACCAGAATGCAACCATAGAATACAATTCAATTCTCAGTGTTACAGGCAGCCAACTCTTCTTCATTTATGAATCAATCAACATTAAGTCTAAATAAAATATAATTCCGTTTTGAACAGTCTGTGATAAAATGAATATTCTGATAACATATATTACAGTTGATTATTTGCAACGGCAAATTATGAAGTTGGTCCATTTCTATTTATCTATTAAGACAATTTTCAGCACATTTCTGATTTCTTAGGCCCAATCCCAAACCACGCCCTACACCCTAACCCTACACACTCCCCCTCCGTAACGGAGTGAACTCCGTGGAGTGACACTCGCATCTCAACGAGGCTCTCTCCTGTCAGATGGAGGGAGTAAATACAGTGGCAAGCTTTGGGACGGCCTCCCCTCTCTCCGGCAGAAACAGGAAATGCCGTAACAACGGTTTCAAATCAGCATCTCTTTGACAAAACATTAAAATTAATAACTAAAATAAAACATCGCAGTTTATCAGTGGATGTTTGCTGGAACTACTTGTACACAGCGTGTTTCCTGACGGACACACACAACGTGGAGACCGGTCAGGTAGAGACCGGTCTCCAGTCAGCACCGCTGCAGACTCGCTGTTTGAGGGCTTGATAGCCCACTCCCCCTCCACACCGCTCCACACTCGTTGGTTTGGAACAGCACTTAATATGGCGGACCCTCCATGCGAACGCGCAAACGGAGGGGTAGTGTGTAGGGGTAGGGTGTAGGGGGCGGCTTGGGATTGGGCATTAGTTTCCATCTGTTACTTAACTTTGACACATGTCCTGACAGTATTTCATTAAAAAGCAATTGTTACCAAAAAGTAAAATGTGTCTTTGATAAGTAGTTTATATAAGAATATATTGAGTATTGACACAATGTTTCCACAAAAACATCGTTATACTTTCCTCTGTTCAGACTTAGTAAAGCTAAGCTAAGCTAACAAGCTGCCGGCTCCAGCTACTAACCATACAGACATTAGAGAGTTATCAATAAGCAAGAAATGTTCAATGTTCAAAAAACCTTTTAATAGGCGCATTCACACTGCAGTACTTTTCCCACAAAGGTTCATGTGAACTATTTAGTTCGCATGAACTAAGTAGTACAGATCGCGTTCACACTGGAAAAAGTCCGTGGGGGTGGATTAGGCAAATGAAGCCGCTGACGTCACTTGTTCTTCTTCTGCTTTGGGTTTACTGGCAGGCCGCAAACCACTTCAAGGCCGGCCGGAAGTCCCCGGCCGGAAGTCCCCGGAGTTGGAGACTGGCTTCAGTAGAAGCTGCTGGGAGTCCCAGCAGCTTCTACTGAAGCCTTCCGAGTAAATCGCCAGAACGCCGACACTTCCTCATCTCCACCGCTCCCATGTTTTGTTTTGTGTTGCCATAAGTTAGTCTCTCTGCGTTTCTGCGCTGGGATAATGCTAATGCTAATAATGCTAATTCGAGGATAATAAAATGGCGGCTTCACAAAACTTTTTGGGAGTTTTACGGGGCGTGGTTTGCAATCCGCCCAGCCAATCAGAAATATAGCTCTTTTCTCACAAAAGAGGGGGTAAAAAGGTTCACATGAACTAATTTTAGTACCGGCTCTTTTTGGTGTGAACGCGATAAAAGAGTTCACATGAACTAAGTTCACATGAACCTTTGTGGGAAAAGTACCGCAGTGTGAATGCGCCTAATCTCTACCCGACTGTTAGTCAAAAGGCAGATCAACTTTACTTTAATTGTAAAAATAATGCAAGGATATACTTTGTACAGAGAACTGTGTGTCCGCGCTGCAGCTGTAAATGTTTTCATTCTTAGGTGTGACATTGTGAAGTCAGAAGTCTACATGGAGTCACACTAGGTCATGTGATCCAACATGGGAACTGGATTACGTTTACAGCACAGATCCTGAATCATACTACCTTTTTTTGTGGTGATCTTTTTGTCTTGCATGTGGTGAGGACACAAGGAAATACAGTCAAAAGGATTGGGACGTGTTCCCTCAGAGAACGCACACTGTGTGGTCAACACCGTTGCACTTTGTCATTGCTCAGATCTCTCTGTACTAGATCTATCAAAGCAAGACACATCAACTTCATATCATTGCTATAAAAGGATAATCATCACTACCCACTACCCATTAGCAAGAAAGACAGATTGAAGACAAAAGTCTGATTATGATTATTAAATGTGTTCTCATTACAATTCAAAGTTATAACTATTTAATTTTGCTTGGATTTTCAAGCTTTACTTTGAAAAATATATATATCCTACACAACAATGTCAAGAAAGCCAGTATCCAGCTATATGTGTATGGCTAGAGATAGTGATTAGACACAATACTGAAACAGAAATGAACCACATTGTTAGATTACTCAGTTATTTAATTTTCATGTATGGGTTACATGCAACAAAAGTATTAACAAAACCTACATTGGTATTGCTTTTGGACTCTCATCTTATGAATACTATACGTTGTCAGGGTATCAGTATCATTATGTGACTAAAGGTGTGTGTAATTCCTCTGGGCCTCAGCTGCTTCAGCCCAGTCTCAGGTGACTGTCAGCAGGTAAACAGTAGCAGGCTAACAGAAGCTAACACACTGTGGGTCCTTTGTGGTAGATGATCCTTTTGATTTCAAGAGAAATCAATATATGATGTCTATAATGCATGAAAACACACTTGAAATACATTCATAAACCTATAAGTCATTATTATAATTATAAGGCATTATGACTATTGCTGAGGGCTTATAAATACATTTCTATCTTGCTATAAGCAATAATAGCGCATTACGGGAATGTTTTGAATGCGTTATAGACATGTGCGTAACTGTCACCTGAATGAAATGATCTTTTATTGTGTTAATCAGCAGCTTGTCTCTTTACCTCCATTTTATTATATTCTCCATTAGTGTTTGGTGTGATTTTATGAATGTATGTGTGTCATTGGTTCTATATATTTCATTAATCATATTTAAGAACAATATACCTGTATTATTAATCCTAGATTGCCCTATATCCCTCACATGAAAAATAAATGTTAACGTTGGTTGAATAGAATAAAAAATAGAGAATAACTTTCTGTGACCTATATTTCTAGAGGTATACAAATCAAATAATGTATGATATTAATCTATTTTCTTCTCCTCCCCGTTTCCCTTACCACTCATACATTCACACAACCATACACTTCCATCACTTATTCATCTCACTTACACTGAAACCCCATTCATTCCCATTCGGCCTGCACTCCTGCTCCTTCATACCTGATCTCCTGCTCCCCTCGCCCCTCACCATCCACCCTTCCTGCTGTTATTCCCACACTACCCTCTCCCTCTCTTTTTCTTTTAAATCTTCCTACATTTCCCTTTCCATCCTCTATTTTCGTCCTCCCAACACCCCCCCCCCCCCACTTCCAGTCGCCATCTATCTGGGCATCAGAAGGCGGCAGAGCCCCGGACCCCCCGAAGCGGATGGGATGTGAGGGTGCGGAGCCCTCGGGACCCGGCCGAGGTGGTGCTGGCGCTGCGTGAGGCGGCGCAGGGCTGCGGCTGCCAGGTGCACCTGGCCGGGCCCTTCCTGCTGTCCTGCACCCACGGAGCAGCCGGCGCCCGCGTGGCCTTCGAGGCCGAGGTCTGCCAGCTGCCCAGCGGGCTGGGCCAGAGCAGCGGGGTGAGGTTCAAGCGCCTGTGGGGGGCGCCGCTAGCCTTCAGAGACATCGCCACCAAAGTGTCCAAAGAGCTGGAGCTCTGAGGGCGGCTGGAGGCGGGGTGGACCAATCACAGACAGGACAGCTTGATACAAGAGGAGGGATGAAGAGGAAGGTCGCCTCCTCCTCTTCATCCCTGGGCTCTGCCTCATCTGATGCAGCTAGAGATGCCTCGCCTCCGCCAAAGACCCTCTTCCTCTGATGCCACCAATCACAGCCAGACCAACGGATGCACGGACAGACCGCCATCGGCAGACTTATGGTGACCTTTGACATTGGACCCTGCTTGAAACACACCTCCATATTATGTGAGCCCATGGAGTCTTTTTATTTGTTATCACAACTTCATGTTTGATGTAAGGATGTTGCTGAGAATGATGGAGACTGATTATTGTTGACATGTTATTCCTATTGTACCATATTTGTTGTCATCATTCCTTTTTAAAGAGCTGCTATTTAAAGAGATGTTTTAATGTTTGTGTTTTAAGTTTATCTTCCCTCTCTAATGCTTTTTTAAATGGGCAGAAGTTAGACATCTGTTGTCGGGAGCAGACGTGACATATTTCAGAAGTGAGGCCGCAGTCCCACCACCGGCCTCTAGAGGGAGACATGCAGAAATGCAGAGACTTGTGACGGATTGAATGAAGCGTCACAGCCTGTCTGCCCATACATTGCTCCCAGTTAGTGCTCAATTGGGATTCTGATGTTAGTTTTCCCCCTCTCTGGCCCAGTGCTGCCTCTCTGCCTGCTCCACTCTGCTGGAGCTGCTGACAGAGGAGCCGCGCTGTCTAAAGGTCACAGGACCCCTCTGAAGTGTTGTTCTTGATAAACTGATCACTATGCTCTGCCATTTACATATGTTACTTTGCCCAATGTTTTGTCCCATGCTACCTTTATTAACAAGCAAAACTCCTCTAGAAAAATGGAAAATGATACAACATGTTTTTGGTTTAAAGTGCAATGTGTGATTGGTGTTCTTATTTCACAAGTAGGCACTGTTATTGTTCTTATTTGACCTACACAGGGGAAACCGATAGTCACTTACATTATTTTCCACTCAGCAGGTTTAGTCAATTTAGTTTAGATTTTGTTCAGCCAATCAGAATGCATTATTCTGAGTCCAATATGTGCTAATTTAAAGGTTATTTAAATGAAATGCAGTCATTTTTAAATGTAACTAATGAATTGTCTACCCATTAAAAATAAAATGAAAAAGAAATTCCATGCACATATCCAAATGCTTTCACTGAGTGCCAAGACAACTAATAATAATTGTGTGCCACAAATGGTTAAAACATTTATTAATTACTGGTCAAATAGCATGGCTTTTTTCTTGACTGGTTCCAGTTTTTATCTGTTGAGATAGAACTGTTACAAAAAAATCACTTTCATTTTAAACAAATCATTCAGAATGCCACCGCCACACACCTGAGAACCTACTGGAATAAGCCTCCACTCAACAGGGCTCCTTGTTTCATTTTCTTTTTGATATCGCTGATATGTTGTTAAAATTCATTGAGCACGTTTTTTGTTGCCAGGAATGCATTGTACTGCAATGTCTGTTTTTATTCATTCCACATCGTCTCACACATAATGTCCATGATTGACATTCTGAATGTCTTTCTTCCTTGGTGCACGTTTCGGCATCTCTCACTTCTCCCAGTGGATCAGCTTCAGGATTCAGTGAGGTGACAAAGTCAGATAATGAAACTGAGGTACAGATACATCACTATGGCCATAACAAATGGTTTAGTTCTTAACCTCTGCCACGCTACAAACTGTAAACCTTCGTCGACCAATCAGGCTGCAGCACTGAGATCCAATTCCAGTATGACTGTACGAGATGTTTGACTGTTAATCAATCAGTTTCCTGCCGGAAATAAATTAAAAGCATGCAACGTGATGAAGGTTTAAGATAAGACCTTTGAAAAATAAGATGTTCTTTTATATTCATTATACACTGATGACTCCAAAACCCAAAGGTTGTTGTACTTGTATTGTTTTCTACAATGCCAAGCAATGGTAACTTGTACTTTTAAAGTATGCAGCACCTAACAGGACACTGGTCAGTGACAGGAAGAGCTGGAGGAACAGCAGTTTGGATCTTTACGGCTGTGAGGTCTACAGGAATGTCAAATGGGAGGTTTTAGCTGCAGCAGGTATCCATGACTGTCTGAAAATGTGAAGCTGTGATTTAGGGCTAGATATTTTATTTTTCTTCTTTCCGGTCCAACTGGGCTTCACTCTGAACCTGTTCTGTAGATGCAGTTAGAGCCGTGCTTTAAGGCTAGAGTGCTGTTGTATAGTATGTTTGAAGCCGTGCTGTTATCAAGAAAACTTAACTAATGGGCTGAAATATGGAAAGGATCGACCTGCATGTCTCCTAGGAAATAATGTGTGACACAAAAATAAAGACTTTCAACCTCTATCATTTCAGTGTGTCTTATTTCTTCTGTGATGGATTTTGTCTCCAATGTGGCATTCCACCAGGGTCTTTGTGGTATCGCTGAATTGTTGTAGGCTACGGTGTATGTGTGAGGGAAGTTCAAAGCTAATATACATTTTGTTATCTTACATCATGTATGTACATATCACCGTCAGTCAGTTTGGAGTAGTTGCAAGATATTCATGTATGTTTCAAATACAATAAAACATGAGAGAAAGTTTGATTGTTACGGGGCATAGTTTAATCATCCAGTTATAATTCACAACCAAAAAAAATTAGTTTTAGGTACGCACACATAGCCATGACCAGACTATGCATGGATTGATCCCAGGATGTTACAGAGAAGATGTGGAGAGGTTAAAGTGACAGGAAGTTGGGAGTGGGTTATCAGAAGTAAGAAAGGAAGTAGCAGATGGAAAAGAAGTAGGCAGAAAGTAGCCAGTTGGCTGAAACCAGTAAGATAACTTTACAACGAGGCTACCCGTTCATTTTTTACAAAGTAAAATAAATTCCACAGACAGTCAGTGAGTAATTGGTTGTCTGTTCCGCTTTACTTCTGGGCGGGGATCATGCCATCGATGGACTCTCCCTTCTCCAGCTTCTTCTCCATCTCAACCATCAGCTTGACACCATCAACCACCATCTGCACCTGGGCCACCTCGGAGGAGCCCAGACGGTCAGCGTTGGAGATGTCGAACACACCACCCACGGAGGCTGTGTCCACACCACCTGCGGGAGAAGGAGGAAGAGGAATGAGGCCTCTGTCCAACACATGGAAACATACCCTCTCCAGCCCCTGAGACTTGTTGAAACTTTGTAAGAAGGTTTCTTTAATGTATGTTCAACCAACATTTCTCATTAATTCAATCGGCAGATTCCTTGAGTTTTGGCAGGAAAGAAATGAAAACTGACTACACCCTGAAGATGTATCTCTGAATATGTAGGTGCATACGATCCATTAGGTAAGCGAGCGGGAAGATAACATTGCTATTAACCGAAACACAAAGAGCAAATCTTACAGAATAATGCATTTCAGGAAGCCTATAAGGTTTCTAATCCTAAAACAAACTATGGCAGCCTTTTCAATAGCAATTTGTAAAGATAACATAATGAATGAAAAGTCTTATTTTAATCCATGTTTTTTCATTTCTATAATGTTTTGTTCATATAAAAATGTTACTTTTGCTGATAGCTTTATCTTTCCCATCCAACTGTGTGAAGTGTAAGCCTGCAGCGCCTCTCTGAAAATATTAGCTTCAACTCTGAGACTGAACCATTTCATGTTGTTGGTACCTGTTCCACGCTTCTGCAGACGCAGTCTGGTCAGAATCTCCTCGAACTTTGCGTGTGTGCTGAGCTTGGGCAGCTTGACGTGCACTCCACCGCGCAGGCCGGTTCCCAGGTTGGAGGGGCAGGTCAGGATGTAGCCCAGATGCTCGTTCCACATGAAGCCATGGTTGTGCTTCTTGAAGATCCCCTCAATCTGACCAGTGTAGAGGATAAAGGGCATTAATAATGCATCATGGTTTAAATACAACCAGTCTGATGTAGCTAAATGCTAAACAGTCCTATTAATAATGAAGAAAGAAAAAGAGCAATGTAAGGTCTTTATGAAAATGTTTAAAATGTACGATGCACATCATTTTAAATGGCTTTAACTCTTTCTCCAAGTTTAATTGTGCATATTTAATTGTCTGCTTGACTTTATTTAAATACAACAATCTGTGATGTTTTTGCATTACGTTCTGCAGACCAACGCAGAAGCGTCTGAAGACCTCCTTCATGTTGCCGCCCTGCTGCATGGAGATGACACGCAGATGATCCTCCTCGTTCACCCAGACCAGGAAGGTCTTGTTGTCGTTGTGCCTGGAGGAAGAAATCCAGCTCAGTTTTCATTTGCGTAGGACAATGATGGTGAAATGTTTACCAAAGTGCCTCGCAGAATCTTGACGGACATTTCTAACATGTGTCCTGTAATCTGGATAATCTGAGCTACACAGTGGTGGATTTAAAGGACATCAATTTTAAAGGGCAGTTGTGCTGCAGCTTTACATACTGTGCTTAATTATTCATGACACACTTTAACAGATGTTTAAAAGCCGGAATAATCAGGATTTTCATATTAGGGTGATGAGACAAAAGAGACAGATGGTGTTAGTTTGAAAGGTTGGCTTGGGAATGGCAGATGGGAGCTCCAGGATGGGGTTTGTTTAGAGTTTGTATTTATGAGTTTACATATACCTGTTTATCTGGGAATAAAGTTGAATTTGTTATACGTTTTTCTATTTCATTTCCATTTTGTGTCTGAGTGTCTCTCACCAGATGCCTCTGCCGTCGGGCCAGTCACGGGCCATTCCGGCGCAGGTCAGCAGGGGGGACACGGGCTTGTCAAACAAGAAGTGATCGTTGATCAGCAGGTCCTGCTCGGCGTCGGTCATGCCGCTCAGGGGGAAGTACTTTCCCTTGAACTCACCATCCAGGCTGGCCAGAGCTGAAAAAACCAAGGAAGGCACACAGGAAAAGGAGTCAGCCTCTGACAAATACATCTTGCCTTCTACAAACATTTGTGTAAGATTGATAGATTATTGTCATTAGGTTGACATTCACCCTCAATGGACAGCTTCTCAATGCCTCTGCGCTCGCCACGGCTGTTGTGGGGGGGCAGGGTGAATCCCTTGATGCTGCGGCCGGTACGCACACGGCTGGACAGCACGTAGTTGGGGTCCAGGTCGTCACCTCCCTTAGAGAAAGGACAGAAAAACACAATAGATACATTATTTTTATTGACTTGCACTTGTGTGAGGAACTGGACCTTATGAACGTTTTATGAGTAAATGTACTTATTATGTTGGCCAATGAACAGTGTCTGGAGTTATTCATCATGCCTTGGTGTGGCCATAGAAGTAACCAGCAATTGGTTTTACAATCAACAAACTAAGAGTCATTCATTTGGTGTGGAAGCTGGTCAATAGGTATGTTTCCTTCCTTCTGATTTTATACAAATCTATCTCTAACAATACCATCATGCAGATCATGCAGCTCACCTTCAGGTTCTCAAAGTTCAGGTCGGTCGCATGCTTGTCGGTGGGCTTGTATCCACCATGACGGTCAGAGATGATGGGGTCCAGCAGCTCCTTGAAGGCTTCATAGGACTCCTCGTCACCAGCAACGCAACCAACAGTCATGATGAAGGGGTGACCTTTTGAACAAGAGGGATGACAAGGGAGTTGGTAACAATGCTAGTTAGCTAGTTCAACTTTCAATATTTATAACTTTGTAGGAATATTGTTAGATCCTCTCACCCCTGTACCCCATTTGCTAACAAATTCTTGGTTACCAAAAGACCTTACTAAAAAACATGCCAGAACTTTAGCCCCAATCCCTAAAGATTGAACAAAAGTCCTGTGTCACCTCAGAGGTAGTGATCAATGCTAGCATGGTGGGCTTCAGCAACAATCCATAATCAGTACATATTCACAACCCATATTTGGCTACATATAGTTGTTAATTTACTTCATTTATGTCTGTGAAAACAAAAGATTCTGGCATGTGTTAATGTCAATCCTGATTGCTGAATGTCGATGCTCCTTCTTACCAGGGTTGTCAACACCAGTCTGGATGACATCATCCACGGTGAAGCCGCTGGGGGTAGACTTTCCCCTCAGCTTGGCATAGATCTCCTTGGTCAGCACCTACAGCAGATGACACGCAGGTCGGTGTTTATCCAGTCACATGATGTATTTTAGTACATGCTGTGTTCGATGAAGTATCTCAGCACAATGATAACAATAAAGAGACTTTGGTTGGTGTATTGCGGGTGAGTGTCCATTGAGCAGCAATATCAGAGTAGATGTTGTACCTTAGCCATATGGTTGTTGTGCAGGGACAGGTCGGGGAACTCCTCGTCCCCGGAGAACTTCATCTTGTAGTCGTTATGACAATTCTTCGCCATGGTTGCGATTCTTGCTCCACCTGAGAAGAGACACGAAAAAGAGAAGAGGACCTGTTATATTCCAGAATTGTACTGTTCGTTACAATTTGTCCTGACTGCATTTATCGGCACTTTGTTCCCTTATTGTGTCGAAACAGAAGACTACTAAAGAAACAGCCCTTCAAAAGGCAGGTTTCATTGTTTGACTATAATAGTGAATACCATATGTACTCTCTGGTATTTCTCCAAGTCTTTCAAGTGCCTTGTCTATGAATCTTCTTGTGAGGAGGAGACACCTTTTCATTCTGTCCTTCTGTCGTCCTTTTTTTCTACTCTAATTTCACTGTCTTTCTACTTCACTGTCACGCTCTCCCTCGCCCCCCCCCCCCTGTTCTGTCTACATGCTTTTCTTCCTGCAGCCCTCCCCTCAGACTGCCTCACCACCTGTCTCTCCCTCACAGCTGTGATTATAAATAGTGACGCCATGCCCCCTCTTGCCATGCACATGATGATGAAGGATTTTCTCTTCTGTCTCACTTCGTTCAGCCTTAGAATAATACAAACTTAGTGGTCGACCTACGCTGCAATACATGAGTGGAAGATCAAATACATTGGTTCTAACTAAATCGACTTTTTAAAGACCAAAAATAGCTCAAACACTCAATGCTTACAAATGGTTACTCTAAACGATATAGCCTTCTCCCATTGTTCTTGAGACATGGTTTTGTACAGTAATTGTAATTGTGTCCTGCATTTTGATTGAACTTGAAATGCCTAATTTCCACCCCAAAAAAATCACACAAAAATGATTAACACAAAGTGGAACTAATTTGAGTGAGTAGAACTGGAAGTTAACACAAATTACTTGGAAAACAATGATCATTTTGGAGTTGCAATCAACAGAGCTGCAGAATCAGTCAGAATATCTGATCTCTCTGTCCGAGTTGAGAATCCGTCAGTTGAGGTGCAGTTGATTGATGACACCTGGTGCGCTCAAAGGTCAAAGTGGTGCATGCCTCACAGATGGCTGCACATGTTCCATGGCTAAATC